AAAATTTTTTATTTTGTTTTATATATTTTTTTTTTTTTTTTTTTTTTTTTGTTGTAAGTAGCATAGGTGCATGCTCTTACTATAGAGTCTAATACTGCTTTTATTTTTTCTTGTTTTAATTCTGTTAGAATTCGATTGTATCTGAACTATGTAATCTTTTGTATAAATACTTGTTATCAAGTATTATATATTCATATCAGAAGTATATCAGCTTCTTTTTAAAGTTTTCTCTTTCTTTCTCTTTATTTTCTGATATTCTTGATGGCGTTCTTCAATTAATTAGAATGGAAACTCCACCTCCATAATCTATATATACTAATCTCTAATTTAAACTTTTATTATGCAAAATACTCGAGTGAAATTTCATTTTGAATTAGACAACAGTGCTAAAATCACCAAAAAAAAAAAACTTCATCTTACTTATCTCTTTTTCTGCAGTCAAACTTGGATAGCTCTGAGATCATTGAAAACTAAAAAGAAAGATGCATGATATATGCCAGCTAATACAGAATAATTGAAGTATATCCATACTGCCTCAACTTGTCAAACTAATGCTAATATAACTAATTACTTCGGTAATCTGAATGTAGCACATACAATTAATCAATTATACAACACTGAATATTCTCATCATGATGATAGACTTTATACCCTGCTCCAATGTACTGATATAATATACACAAGGCTATATTCACAAATCACAATCAAACATACATTTGTATTTAGTAGTAGTAGCAGTAGTGCAATCACCCTGCTGTATAAACTTCAGGACTACATCATTCTCTAATGATACCATCCCTATGCATGCCTTTATGATCAAATACTGAAATCTCTCGATTTTGGAACACGGCTGCAATCTGCAGCTCCCCAACCAATCAACTGCTTCTCATTTTCGAATACCATCACTTTGTCTTGCATGGATATGTCTGCATAAGCAATAATGTGAAGAATTGTAATAAAAGTGATAATATCTATTATCCAAAACAGAGGAACCAGAATAAAAAAAAGGAGATTGTAACAGCTCAACAAAGTTCCTACCTCCAATTAGGTTTAGTTCCTCCAACCCTACTTCAGAGCCATTTAGAATTCCCAGACAAACATTTCCCAAGTTCTGGCAGAACAATGTTAGCATTCACACATGAAATGCATCAATTACTTGTGATAGTAGTATTTTTTTTTATCAACAGGAATTGAACTCAGTACTAAAAGGCTACAAAAACTCACGTACGCAGCTCAACCGAGTTAACCTTCTTCGTATTTATGATAACATGTAAAAAAAACATAGAAGTTAATGATAGGGTAGAATTCAGAACTCACTGATATTATCAGATAGGCTTCAGGAGGGATCTCAAATTGAGCTTTGACTCTTCCACCATTGGTGAAACTAAGTGCCACAGGCTTGAAGTATCTTCTGACATCACGTATGCTTTTGAAAGGTCTTTTACCGTGCCAGCAGAGAGGTAAAGTCTGATCATCAGGTGCTGCTTTTATGGGCTTTCCACTTAATTCCTTCTTCAGCTACATTTGGAAATTGGAACATCTTAAGTAACCAACCATCATTTTCTCGCACAGAAGTATAAAAATATAATAAATGTTTTCTTTTCTGATAAAAACTTTTCACTTTTTTGTTGCTTAAAATCAGCCTTAAGGGCTTATGTTAACAAAACCGTTACTTAAAGTACTTTATTTATTTATTTTTTCTTCATACAATTTGAATCTTCATGATGAAATTAAATAAGGACAGACAGAGAAAGGGGAACACTCGAAACAAGATTTTTACTTGATTTGGCTCACTGTGAAAAATGAACTATACATAAGAATTTATACTACAGAGGACCTGTTGATACATGAGATACAATGAGCCATGACTCCTGAAAAATTTATCTTCTTGAATCTAAGATACAAGCATAAGAAAACTGAAAAATACTATGAAAATTGAATATTCATGAATAAGAATGAAATAAGTTTATTATATAATCGCTCCATTTTCCAACAAAACCTGTATGATCTTATAGAAGAAATTCCTCAAGCTTATTGAAATACTTCAATTTGGGAAACATTGCAAAAAATGTTTTAACTCACCCAAGCATCTAGTGCTTGGTAAGCATGAGAATTGAAGTAAGTGTAAGAACTCCCAGTGTCAAAAACAGCAGACAGACTTCCAACCCCAGTTTTCCTTCCTCCTAAAACAAGTTCAGCTGGCCCTGCTGCATAATGTTTGCTAATGCAAAGCACACAGAGGATTCAAATCAGAACATAGAATTATGAATCATTAAGAACATGTGGAAAATGTAAAATGAGGACCTGACTTCTGAAGGTTTACTTACGAATCTATAGATGAAATTGGAGTCCAACTCACTCGAGCAGAATCATATACATTTCCAAAGAAAATATATCCTCCTCCTTGTGAACTTAAACAGTGTCCAATCACATTTCTCACCAAGCCCTGACTATTCAGCTGGGATATCAAGCTGGCCTTTCCCCTTCCAAGGCCTAGTATTCCATCTAAAGGATGATAAGAAGAAGGTGAAAAGACTTGATCATATCCACACCTGTAGAAAGGAATCAGAAAAGAAGTGAATTATATAACTATTAAGAGTTTTTTAACAAAACTACATACAACATAAATTACAATCATCAGGCAATGTCAAGCTGACATGATCAAGTATATTCTGATCATGCAACCATGGAGTGATTTTCCAAATTCTTTTTCCTCAATACTTAAAATGTATTATCAACAGAGAATATATTCAAATTCTCAGGATTTTTGTACTTCATAAGAAATTTGTTAGACAATAAAAAGAAAACAGTTTAAGTCATCCCTGAATGAAAAATATATACTATGAATAAACATAATCGTTTTGATATTAATTAATTCCAATCTCTCAATTGTTAATAAATTGTGTTCTATATAGTATGGAATATGGATAACAAATAACATCCATATTGTACATGTTTGGTTCTGCATTTTAGGAAACAGGAAGTTCAACAGAAGCTACAGTTTGTAGCCTCTGCATCAAATCCTCTTATTTGACATGACTTAGGAAATGGGATGTGCATATGTGATATACATCCAAACATGCTGATTATCCAGCTTCATAGACTTTTGAGTAAGCTGCCACAAGGATCCACTCTAAGGTTCTTCTCACTTTTCAATGCACATGTTCAACCTAATTCACTAGTATAAATCATTCTAGTCTCTATTGGTACTAACTATTGCAGTTAAGATGCACAAACAATTTTGCTGAGTATTGTATCTCAAGGCCTTTTCTAAATGCAAGCTTTCAAAAGAGAACAATCATAGACAAAGAAAGTAAAAACGGTTGTGAGGGGGTGAAACAAACGTTGCAATGTAAACTTACCCAAGTCCCATTCGAACTTTAAGTTGGACTCCATTGGTAAAGTTGAGAAGGTAGACATCGTTGAGTAGCACACCAAAGGTTGAGTACTGATCTGCATAACTAACTTCATAGTCACATTGATCAGGGTGTTCACAATTGTAGTCCTCAGTGGGCTGCAAGGATGCACATAGGGGATCCTTGCATGGTACAAAGTCATTGCTGGGTTTGTACAGTGGATGGGGCGTCTGAAAAATAAGCAACAAATTAAATTCAACCGTACAAACATCACATTACACGTATCTACCTACATCTATAAGCAAGGCTGAGCTTTTCATTTTTCAACTCAAGATTTTGCACTTCACATTGGCCTATTAAGATTCACAAGGGAAATAATTGTTGAGGGGTTTTCTTTTCATATAGGTAGTGTAACAATACCTCAGAGCAATGAGTACAAGGGGCATCACATTGGAGCCATGTGAGGTCACTACCCGTGTCCACATCAAGAAAATAAGGCCTTGGTGGCTGACCGATATTGAGAGTAACATTATAGAACCTGAAAACATTGAAATCAAGGGTGAATCATATCAGAGTATCAATTTCCTTCTCACCATCAATATCAAAAGATGTTTCATTTCAATTAAAATATAAATGTCCACAAAAGTCTACTTACTTTTGTTGGGAAAAAACAACTAAAGTTTTTGTTCTGCTATATTCTTATGGAAATGTTTTGAAGGAGAAAACAATGTCAAGTTAAGTCCAAAACATAAAACATTAGGAACCATAAAGAAGACTTGTTATGAAGCTACCTACCCAACAGGGTAAACATTGCCATGAAGGGGGAACACAACAGAGGAGCCAGAAGGATTGAATAGCCTTGGCCATGATGACGTGGCTTCACCTGGGAGAATTGAGTTCCTTCCACTTTTGTGTTTGTTACCAAACCAAGCTGAACAAGAAGACAAGTTGAACAACACCATAAGTGCAAGCACCATCACCACTTTTCCCATTTTCATCTTCTCTCTCTCTATCCAACCAAGAACTTGTTTCTTATTATTTTATTTTTAAAATGTATGGATGAAATAAGTTGAATATTGGCGGGGGGGCTGAGTTTAAATCAAAATTCTTGATTCTTGTTGAAAGAATTGATTTTGTCCCTGTCCATGAAGGATGGGACTCATGGGTATTGGCTTTGCTTCAATTGTTGGATTTAGTTAGTGGGAATATAAGTGACAACCTTGGATGGGGTTTAGGAAGGAGGAGAGGACAGAACAACCTCGGCATTGGAAGTGGGATTGCTTCTCATCATGCTTTAGCTTCTAGTTCCTTCCTTCCTCATAAAGCATTAATCAACAATCTGCAAGATTATCACAACCCTCGTGGAAGAAAAATTGGGAAGGGATACGAAGGAAGAGTGGAAGTGGAAGCACTCAACAAGTGTTCAGTTTTTGAGACACTTCCTCAGTTTCTTGGAAACTTCTTCCTTGTCTCCATTCAATGCTACTGCAACAACATTTTTATTAAAAAAATGTACATTTTATTTTTTACACGTTTTTCTTGGATCGCAAGTTGTTCTTTCTTTATTATTTTTATTTACTTATCATATTATATTATATGTACCATATATCCATATATATATATATATATCTGATCTGTCCATCTCAAATTTATGTTGTTTCATAGTCACTGAATAAAATAGTACGTTACAAGAAAAAAGGACTGTAAATTTGGAGGCCCAAAATTGAGTCAAGCGATGAGGTTGGGCTAGAGACAAGATAGGAATTAGAGTATATTTAGGCCAGCTTTTTTTTTTTTTTTTTTTTTTTTTTTTTTTTTTTTAAAGTAACTTTTGAGTTAATGTTAAAAATTAACATTTTAAAAGATTAAGTAAAAATTATTTATTAAATTTTATTTTTTTAACTTAAAATTTTTTTAAGCTGTAATTTATTTAATTTTTTTAAAATAAATTCTACATTATTTTAATATAATAATTAAAAATATTGAAAAAAATAATTAAAAATATTAATTTAAAAATTAATTAAGTAATAAAGATGTTAATGATGATTTACAAAAGAACATTTAAGTCATATATTTCAAATATTTTGAATTTAAATATAAGGAAATATTTCAAAATTATAATATAAGAACATTTAAATTTAAATTATAAATGACAAAATATTTAAGTGATATATTTTTCATCAATATTTTTAAATAAAAAATATTTAAGGAAAATTCAGTAATATTAAATTATATTAAAAGTATTATATATGTTGAAACAATCAATAAAATAATTAACGTCAATATGTTAACATATATTATCTTTTCCGAAAAAAGAAATCTAATTAACAATCAAAAGAAGTGGGAAAAAAATTGTAAAAGGAAAAATAGCTAAGGAGAGATTTTAGAGAACATGAGTTTCAGCAAAATAAAATAGAGAGTAAGAGAAACTCACATCAAATTAAAAAATAATAATAATAATAATAATAATAAAGAGCAAAAATAACCCACAATAAAATAAAATAAAATAGAGAAAAAAATATCACAATAAAATAAAATATCTGCAAATAGTAACTGTTTGAACTCAAAATGAAATACTAATAGAGTACCACTTAAGCTTTACTTAAGAGTTAACTTTTTGCAAAAAAAAAAATTGTTATTTTTTCATAAGTTTTAAAACTTAGTTTTTTTAAGAACTTTTATATAAATAATTTTGGTCCGTCTTTGAATTATAAACAAAAATTTAAGTTATAAATAATCAAAGTAAAAATACTCTTAAAACAATTTTTAGTAGTTAATTTTGATTTGATTGATCTTCCTTTTAGAATAATGACTCGTCACTTATGATTAACTTAATTTTCTTTAAGTGGAGTAGAATACATAATTTTATGTTCAAATTATGGTTCCGTCATTATAACTAGTTTAAAAAATAAAATAAAAAACTTTCTTTTAAATTTATTCTTCTTATCTCTTATCTTTGACTAGCTTCGATATTTTAAACTCTTATAATTATTCTTTTGTTGATGGCTTGTGTGAGCATCCAGACCCTTTATTTTAGAACATACTAACAAATAATCACCATAAAAAATTAGGGATCGAAGGTCCTACCTCCATTGTATAAAAAATAAATAAATAATTTTAGTTTAGCCTGTATTTATTGGATAATTAATATTATGAGTCATGTTCGTAGATTGAAAAAATTATTTTTTTAATTTTTTAAATAGTATCATTAAATATAATTACCACCTACACTATTTAATTTTATTCTTACTCAAAAAAAAAAAAAAAAAAAAGAACTTACACTATTTAATTTTATAAGTATTTTTCAAATTAAAATTTTAAATTATATTATTAATTACAATTAATTAATTTAATTATTTTTATTGGACTTAAAAAATTAAATATCTGTTTTATATATAAGAAGGTAAGATGTGAGGAATTAGTATATTCCTTACTTACTACAGTTTTTTTTAAGACAGTTGACATTGAGTTTTTTTATTATTAAAATAATAAATTAAAAAAAGAAAAACATTTTCGTAATCAGACCAAAAATCAATAATAAAATTAAGTGTTATTGTTCATTTTTTGCACAAATATTCAAATATAAAAAATAATTAATTATTTCTTGATAGACATTAATTAGTTTTATATCAACAGAAAATCGAAGTACCATAACAAATGAGTTGATCTCATGAGGTTTTCTTATTCATAATATTTTATTTATTTATTTCTTATGTGATTTTGTTTAATATGTGAGAATTAAACACAACATGGAAAATATTTATAACAACTTATAGACAATACTTAATCAACCGAGGTAGTAGACCGTAGTCATGTTTCCGTACCTTAAGAACAAAGACACTAAAAATATAAATGATTGCAACAACCTTAATTTCTATATCTTTTTCTGTGATGACCAATCAGTTTTCACTTATAATATTACAACAACAACAACAAAATCTTCCAAAAATTCATTTTCTAGTTAGCAACTCTCTCTTGTCTCTACTTTATAGTTTATGATAATGTTAGTATATTAAAAAATTGATAATACAAAACGACTTAGAATTCGGTTTTCTTTTAATTTCACCGTTTTTTTAATGTAAATTAAAAAAAATTATCCATCACACACGTGCTTTTATTGAGGATTTATAAATTCACTTAATTATAAATCGTTGTCTTTAATAAAAATTACTGTTAAAAGGGGAAAATTTTACTAAAGATGTCTAATTAATTTTTTTATAGATATTAATTATCAATAAAATTAATAAATATTTTATATTAATAACATTATAAAAAAAAATTTGACAATAAAAATAACTAATTTTGGCCTTTTTTTTCTGAAGCCCCTTAACTTATTATAATAGTATTGTTTGATTTATGTGACTAATCTAATTTTATAAAAAGATTACGTTGATCCATATTATACTTAATTTTCTTTTTCTTGTAAGTTTTATATTTGAATTTTATAGTTCAAATAAGAATAGAAAATAATAACTTACTAAATCAGATTTTTTAACAATATAAAGTACTTTATATCAATAAAATAGTAAAAAAGAAATTTCATAAAGCTTATGGTATCATTTACTTGAAAAAAATGTTGTTTTAAAATATTATTTATTTTCAATAAATTATTCTTATATTAGTATAAACTATTACATCCGTCTCTAATTATAAAATCTTTTTAACTAAGTTACATTCTTTAAAAAATTAATTAATTTAGTTTAACATATTATATTTGTCAATAATTTAAAATATTTTTTTAAAATTATCTTTATTATATCTCAAATTAACATTTTATCTTTCTATTTAATTATTTTTCACCTAATTAATTAATTAAGAGAAAGAGAGAGTATTTATCCAATTAATTTGAAGTATTTATTATTTTTATCTAAAAAATTGTTAACTAAATAAAGATATTTTAGAGAATATATAATTAATACATCCAATAATTAGAAGAGAACTTTATAATAAGGGATAACAAAAAAAAATGGAAAGGGTCTTATATGTAAAGACAAAAATAGTATATTTTTTCTAATTTTTAGGAATTGTACTAACAACATGATTTAAACTTAGGATCATGTGCATACTAGAATCAAAGCGATAAAGAAATACTTATAAATTAAAGATGTTAAATTGACATATACTAAATTGAATATTTTATATTTAGGCTTAAAATAGATCAAGTAGGTTAGATTAGTCTAATAAAATATGGCTCAAAAAGCATCAAACTCATTTGACTTAATTTTTTCTGTTTTTGGGTAAAATAATGCAACTCTCATATTTAGTGAATATGTAGGTTAGACAGTTGATCTGATCGAAAATAACAAGAGATTCTATAACTGCGCATATTTCTTTCTGTCTTAGAAAAAGAAAACGGAATGTAATGCTGCTCTCACGAGATTTCTTTACAACTGCTACGAGTAAGTTGAATTAATTAGATGACAATTTATTAGTTTATAAAAATTGAATTTGAATCAATTTATATATGCCTAGCTCTGTGTGCATAGTTGCATTGCTATTATGATCTTGGATATGCATTTGATTTCGTATCATGTTAGGGTATAAAATAACCAAGAATCAAAAAGGTGAAAAGTATCCAAAATTATTTTTTGGTAAAGATTCGCCAACTTACTTTTAACAGTGATCTTTGATATGATTACCAAAATAAAACTTCAATGTTAATAGAAGAATAACAAAAAAAAAAAAACTGTTACAGTTATGTTATGTTCAAACATAACTCCATATCAATAATAGTTTCAACTAAAAATTGGAAATAATTATCCCATGAAGCATATTCATAGTTGTCACATTAATTTTCTATACAGAAAATTTGGTTAAATAATTCAACACTTATATTTTTTAACTAAATATTGAGTTCAAAATAAATAAATAGTAATAATAATAATAAAAGCACTGCGTTTCTATCAAGCATCGAAATTTCATCCTTGAAATCCCATTTAATGATTTAGAGCGGAACAGCAATCAAAAGAACAAATTCATGTGATTGAAAACCAATGGGGAAAATTAATAATTAAATTTTGACACTTTGATCAAAGTGTAAGCCACAAGTTACTGCCCTAGCACATTGTTTTAGTACTTTCTAACTCGAGATCATTTAAAAAAAAATACCATATCATGCTTAAGACCATCCAAAAAGAGTAAGAATTATTTGAACAATATTGCCACTAATTAAGGCCTTCAATAATTTTTCCTTCTGAGGTGTATACGGAGGGTACCTTACGGATGAATCTGCATCAAAACTTCTGTAGAGAACTGCCTTCTTGTGGCTGAAACTATCAAAAGAGAATTTTCCATGGTAACAACCCATTCCACTCTCTTCAACTCCTCCAAAAGGCAAACCACGAGTAGCAACCTGCATTCATAGATAAGTGTTTACATATTAACACATTTATGTGCATGTATAAACTAGCTTAAATTTTTCAAGTCTTCATTTCACTTGACGAATATATGTGCTCTGGATTTTCAGGTTTCACTTCATTGCATGCTCATGCAAAATTTAGGTTGAAAAAGTCTTAAGCATCTAAAGATATAGGTTTATTTTCATCTAGTGCTTAATTATTTCCTCATTTTTTTTAGAACAAAAACATGTTGATGATCAATCTAAAAGTACAAAACATGCAGACAAACATGAAGTTCAAAGGTGAATTATTGCCTTTGATGAAATTAAGGGATTATTTGTATTTTGTGCTAGTAGAATAAGAAAATAAATGTCTTTCCTCAATTATTGATTAAAGTCAACTCATATCAGCTAACCACCAGAAATTCTCTCCAGCTAAGTTGAATCATTTAATGTATGCCACTGCCAGTGAAAGATGCCAAATAAAGAGAACATAACTTTTCTTTTTTCCTTCTAGAGATGGAAACTATTATGAAAAAAATGATTTATGAAAATATGGTCATAATTAAAGAAAATTATGTTAGCATACAACAATTTTTCATGTTTAAGATTTAGGAAGAGAATAACTACATGGATGACAGCGTCATTGATGAGCATCCCTCCAGAAGATATCTTTTCCACATAATCCTTCTTCAGCTGCTCATTGTTTGTGAAGAGATATGCAGCAAGAGGTTTTGGCTTTGATTTGATTATACTGTAGCAGTCTTCTATGTTATCTACCTGCAAAAATAAGGGAGAAATATAACAACTTTAGGTTAAATATGAAGAAACATATCAAGTACTTCTCAAGATAATTTCTGTAAGAGTTAAATTGGCTGGAAAATGGAAATAACTAGGAGATGCAAAAGGGAGTAAGGAAGATAGACAGTACATGGTAACAAATTGGTTTTATATTTGAAGGGTAAAATCTTTCTGGACAAAACAATTGAAGCCTTGAAGTTAGAAATTATCTTTTTAATATGCTCTCATTCACAAATACAACAAGAAAAGAGAGGCGAGTTTCAGAACTAGTGTTTTGGAGTCTGTGTCAGTTATAACAGGGAATAGGAAACTGGTCAATAAGAACCGAATGTGGTTTTAAAAGGGTTTTTTTTTTTTTTTGTAATCATAGTATTGGTAAGAAATATCCACAGATGGAATGAGTGACTAATCTCGTCGGACACTATGAACGCACACAAGGTGAATGTATTTTCCTTTTAATATAGTTTATTCCATACTCAAAACTAGGATTTGAATCCTAGACAATTTGGTTAACGAATACAAGTCTCTACCATTTGTGTCAACCAATGTTGATTGTTTTAAAGGAGTTGGAACCAAGGAATGGCCACTAGCAGATGGAAAACAAAATTAATGTCATAAGTGAGACAAGAACAGAGTTATTTTGTTGACAAAACCATACTCCTCGCCAAAAATTCTTTTGTTGTGGTGTAGTACTCACAGTGATGATTGGCAATATTGGCCCAAATATCTCTTCCTGCATTACCATAGCATCTTCAGGAACATCCAATACGATAGTTGGGGCAATCCTTCTGCAATACAAAGGAAGAATAGATGTTATGGTATTGTATAAGTAATATTTCCAATCTTAAAGATTGAAAGGGAATGCAACTCACAATTTCTTCTCATCCCTCTGACCTCCTAACACAATTTTGTCAGACACCTTATCCTCATCCAAGAGATTCACAAGCCGTGCAAACTGGTTTGGAGACACAATTCGTGACATGTCTTTTGACTCCATAGGATCTTTCCCAAAAAATTGTTCCAGTTCTTCTTTCAAGGCACTTATCTGTCGAGTGAGAATTTATCGAGAGCAATATATTTTAATAGCACACTGAATTCTGTATTATTGAGACAACCTTACCAGCTTTGGAGCAAATTCTTTTCTTGTGATGATATAATCAACAGAAATGCATGCTTGTCCACTATTGGATGCCCACTTGCCAGCTATAATCCTCCTAGCAGTAACCTGAAAAAATTCAATGATTATTACATAAACATGAAAATATTTTACTCAATGTGTAAATAAGGTGCTCCATAATAGATGATGTTACTTGTAAGTTGACATCTGATTCAACAACAGCTGGGCACTTTCCTCCAAGTTCCAGAATCACTGGTGTAAGATGCTTTGCAGCAGCAGCCATGACAATGCGACCTACTCTAGCACTACCTGCAAAAAGCTGGTCTATTATGCATGGAACCTTGCAATGAAATTAGCATGAAAAATACATGTGACTTTTTATTATAAAGTGAAAGCTTCTACAGTGTTTACTCAAATTTCAAGATGCAACTTGTGATAAATTAGCCAATTTCCACCTTAGAAAGAAATAAGGCTATACAACAATTTGACCATACCATTGACACCAATGTTTTGCTATGAACATTTCATACAGTCTTTGAAACTGATGATTCAGTTTCATAATAATATAATCTTGTAGGATAGTGATACAACATAAGAAGGCAATTACCTGTGTAAAGTATCTTATCCCACTTCTGGTCCAGGAGTGCAGTTGTTTCAGGAATAGCCCCTTCAACAACTCTTATGGCAGAGCTGTCTAGATATTGTTCAATCAAATTTGCAAGCAGTGATGATGTTGCTGGAGCAATTTCTGATGGTTTTAGGACCACTGCATTACCCGCAGAAATGGCTCCAATGACTGGATCCATTGATAACACTGAAGATAGGAGGTAAGAACTAATCAATGGAAAGGAAAGGACATGAAGAAGATGCAAAGTCAACATTAGAAAGTGTAAGCAAGTGACCACAAAACTTTAGCCAAATTCATACACAGAGAACAGAAAGAATTTTAGAGCTTGAAATAACCGGTGAAATTTGAATTTTGACAAAAAAGAAAAAAGAAACAGTGCAATAAAGGGCTTGCAAGGTTTTACAAAACGTTTTGTGTTAAGATTTTGAGAGTTTTTGCAACTGCAATGTGACCACAATTTGGTCACATGATCTGTATTCACATGCAATTTCTCACAATGTCAAGAAATGTTACAAAACCACCATTGGGACCAGGGTTTAAGACGTTTTACAGGGTGTGAAAGTGTTGTAAACCCTCTTGATATCCAGTTTGATTCTTATGGATAAAAAAAAAAGTTGAAGACTTGTATTTACAGAGCAAATATATTCCACCACAAGACCTCCACAGATACAGTGATGAAAACGATTGAGATGAAGAGAAGCTGTTCTCCATTATAACCAAATGCAGTTTAGAAATGTGAATTGAGTGAAAAGGGAACATCTTCTACGTACAGAAAGGAAAGTTCCATGTTGAGATGACCAACACAACCCCCAGTGGTTCTGGCACAATCTCGGCAGATGATGGAAATGTTGTGATTGAAGTATTCACCTACAAGGGAAAAGGACAAAGTTGGATGTTAATTAATTAAATAAAGTCAAGTTGAAAGTTGTTGCTTTTGTTGAAAAAAAATTTCACCTTTTCAGGCTTCATCCAGTGCTTCAGCTCTTGAAGTGCTTCACTACATGCGGATTTTACCTGGGCAACCTGCATATAAGACACACGTGAATCAAATCTGATGTGACCATGATGATGGTGAAGCTGAGGAGATTACTGGACAAATGGAAACATCCAATGTCTTCATGAAAGGGTAAAAAGGAAGAATTCTATAAAGTAATGGCTAACAGAAACATATGAAGCATAAAAACAAAAGCCGCAAATTGAAGACCTCGGCTATAAATGCTTCAAATTGAGGTTTAGAAAGGTCCTCATAAAGAGCTTCAGTAATTTCCTTCTCTTTCTCTTCTAACATCCTAGCTATGGCCTCCAACTGGGAAACCCTCCATTCATAGCTCTTTGTCCTGCCTGAATCAAAGCTCTTTCTGAGCTCTCTAACGAGCAAATTAGCCTCCTCACCATCAAATACTTGCTTCTCTTCTACTTCTGGCACCACTGATAGAGTTGCAGAACATCTTCACAAGATAAACCATATATATATACATGCCAGCAAACCACATAAAAAAAAAATCTTATTCAAGCCAATACAATTAAAACACCCTCATGAACATGTTTAAATACAAGCTTAAATGAGTTTTCCAGAGTTCCTCAACCAAAAAATATATATATTTATTTTTGCTTGAGAAACTCTGAAAAACTCTTTTAAACTTATATCTAATCACAGCTCAATGACCAAAAAGTGGAGAGAGACAGAGAGACAGCAGGATTTACGAGTATGAAGAGAAAACAACACAACTTGATCGGAAGTGAAGTTGGTTTTGAAAGCACTTTCTGGTTAAATGACCTCCAAATGCTCTTCTATCAACCGGAGCACTGTTATTATGAAGAACTGGAGTTAGAGGCACACCAATTACAATGAAATTGTAGTTGTTATTAAATTTTCAACATGCTTTAGGCAATTCTATTATTCTTTTGGGTGTTTATGGTTTGCATAGAGTTGCATTGGTCATCTTTATTTTGATATCACAGAATGAAAAAATATATGAACAATCATTGGCTTAGTGATTCATAAAGTAGAAGGAAAGCAGGTGAAAAATTTGGAGACATGTACCTAGCAGCAAGGAACGGCCCAAGACAGAGGCTTTTCATGGTGGTGATGTCTGAAATTAGAAATCTAAAAACTGCATTGATTATTAACTTGCGTTTATATATAAGCAGAAGTGGAGTGACTTCTCACTTCTCAGCCATGAAAAACACGGAGATAATGTTGTACACGTTTGCTCACTTGGCATTCATCATGGTATTTGAAAAATGATAGATCCTCCAAAATTTGTCCGAATATATAAAATAATAATTTAAATTCTAAAATATTAAATTAAATAATTATTTTATAATAAATTTATTAAAAAAATGAAAGAAAAATATTATATGAGATTTTATGCGGTACGCGAACCCACGTGGGTCTCTTAAATCCTAACCCTTCATGCATGTACCTCTCCTATGTCACAGCCCTTGGATCAAACCCAGTAAAATGATTGATGGAGATAAAGATTAAAGAACACATCATGCATATAATTTATACTTAATCGTGACTTTATCTCTGAATCAAAATATCAAATTTCGATCATTATTGATTAATTTTAAAGTTTAAATGTTATTTTTTTTAATGCAACTTATGTATTTTTGTTGTAATATTTATAGTAAAAAAATATTTCATTTTACTCTTTATGGTAAAAAAAAAATAGTATTTATGATTAATAATTTTTTAATAGTTAAAAACATGCATGTGTTATTAATAAAAGGTAAAGTTTATAACATTATATTGTTTTAGTTATTATTTCCTTTTTAATTTTTAAAAGTAATTAAATATTGCCCATAATATACCCAAAAAAGTATTGCCAGTCATTACTTTTTTATCATGAAAGGTGAAAAAAAAATGATATTATCAACATTAAATATTTTTAAAATTAAGAATTAAATTAATTTTTTAATAATAAAGATCAAATTAAATAATTAAAAAAATAGGGGGGGAATAATTGAACTTAAAAATATCTCTGTACTCAGTAGTCAGTACTGTGTTGGTTGAAGACAAAAGTGCACGAAAGTGACAGTCACGAAACAGCAGAGTGTTTTGTCAACGACACGATGTATGTGAAAATTGGTCCCATTGCAACGCATCATTCAAATTCAATCAAATCGGAGCTGTGTAATTATTATTTTTAGTTAATTATTTATATATTATTTTTTATATTTACAACCAATCATATATTTTTAATAATATTATATTATTTATTTATTTAATTAAATAAAAATAAAATAAAATAATTTAAAAAATATGATTAATTTTTAGTATAAAATTTTTTATATTAATAATATATGAATGATTAACTCTTATTTTTTATCTGTTTTATAATGGGAATGGAGGTACTTTTTATCTTTATTAAAAATAAAATTAAGTAAAAAAATATATCATTTTAATTGATATTGTAGTTTGTCTTTACGCTTTAAAATTTTAAATTTAAATATTGAATTTAATAAAAAATATTAATTTTTAAATTTTTCTATTAATAAAATGATATAATAATCTATTAAATATAAAGATTAAGATAATTATTAAAAAAAATCCTCTTTATAAATTAATATAAATGCTTACATCTTAAAATTCATAATTAAAGATTGATTTTAACTAGTAAAATATATTTTTATTGGTTAAAAAATATTTAAATAAAAAAATTAAATTTAAAAATGCGAAGTGGATCTTCCGTCTAATATATACAGAGGATAAGAAGTTTGGTTATAATTGAATAAAATTGAGTAAAGGTTCCACTTTAGTTAATTGTTGTTGTTGATAAATCTGCCACTTATTTCACATCCATAAAGGACAACATAAATTCCGATCCCACTAAATCATTCACATTCACACAACACAATATTTCTAGAAGACAAGAACATAAATGATATCAAGCCCATTAACTTGTAAATCTACTGTTTCAACTTTCGTAATACACTTTTGTATTAATAATTTAATTTATCACTGTTAATTTGAATCACACACTTCTCATATGATATTTTCGTAAGGAATGTAAGTATTACAATATTCAATTTATATATATTAAAATATTAATTAAATTACACTTTTATCTTTTAGAGATATAAATGTTGTACTATTACTTTTTTATCATTTTTTTAATATTTTTTTATCATATTAATTTAGAATATTTAACTTAATATCATTAAAGAATAATAATTATGAGATCTGAAAATATACTGTCAATTTAATTATTCATAAAAAATTATATTTTTAATTTAATTATTCATAAAAATATACTTTTAATTAATTAAAAAATTAATTATTCATATATATTTTAACTTATTTTTAGTTCATTTTCATTCATTTAATTCATTAAAAAATTGTAAAATATATAATTATATTTAAATTAGTTTATTAAAATAATAAATAAATAGATGTTATAAAGTAAATAATATATATGTATACTTTTTATATACGAGGAGAGATCCATTTAGACTTACTCCGTTCAATAACTCATATTTTATATCAAATTTCAACAACCCAGCTGTTAAATTTAAAGTTCTTAATACATAAATCAAATCTACAAATTTTAGAAAAAATAAAAATTATTTGATATTTCGTTTCATTAATTCAAATCAATGTATAAATTGATTTTATGATTATCTGTCAATTTGAATTAATGAAATGAAGTATCAAATAATTTTTAAAGTTTTTTAAAATTTACAGATTTGATCTATGTATTGAGAATTTTAAATTCAACGGTTGGATCGTTAAAATTTGATGTAGAACATGAGTTATTGAATGAAATAAATCTAGATAGACTTACTCCTTGAAAAATGTGAATTTTAAAAATCTAACCGTTAGATAGAAAGTTCATATCTCTTAGATCATATATGTCAAATTTTGTTAAAATTTATCAACAACCTGAAGGTAATCAAAGTGTTCATATTTTAGTATATTATTTATCTATATATATACATTATTTTGTTATATAAATTTAAAAATATTTTTTAAGATATATGATAAATTTTAACAAAATTCATAATAACTTTTAAAATAATAATTAAATATATAAATCTAGAGATAAACTATCAAAGTGTAACATAATTAAATTTGTTAAGGAAGAAAATATTTATTTGAATACAAGAAGAGAGTGGTGTAATATTTACATCTTAAAGAGGATATTAGTATAAAAAATATTTTGATAATAAGCCTTTTTATAATGAAAGTCAATGATAAATTAAAAAAAAATAGATAAAGTGTCATGTATTAGAATCTATTTTAGGAGAGGATTGTAATTTTTAATATAAGAGAAAAAATAATGTAATATTCATATATTTTAAAGGAGGAAAGTGTAATTTAGTAAAAAAATTATAATGAGAGGACTGAGTTTAAATTACTATTTTTTTAAGTTAATGTAAATATATTATTTTAAATTATATAATTAAATTAATTAAGAAATATACATAATTAAGGTAATTAATAAGTATAGTAGTTCAGTATCCTAAACTTGCATGTTATGAAAACAATTTATATAACAAAAATTTTACGTTTAATTTTTGCCATGAGTAACAAACCTTCTAGGCAACAATGATCACATTATCACTGACTTGATTAGTTTTTTACCTAATAGGTTAGGACAAACTTATGAAAGGGCAAAAAAAAAAATCCGAATTATCCACGGTTATAAATTATGGACCAAGTTATTTAATTATATTTAATATTTTTTAAACACATTAATTATATTTAATATTAATTATGATAACTTACACGTTTGAATAAAAAAGTATAAATCTCATTTATTGGATTAATAAATAAAACATAATTTATTTACTTTAATGCCAAAATTCATAACGCAAAAAATAAGATTGGAAACTTTTTTTTAATAGACATAATCTATGCACTATTTCGCTAACAATTAAATACTAATATTCATTCTCGTGATATAACTATGTTAATCAAGAATTATTTTAATACTAACAAAAATTATTATGAGAAGTCGATCCAATGTCTCATGTATACTTGCTCTGTACCTATATATATAAGTAAATAAAACAAATTTCACATATATTAAAAAGTTTATTAAATGTGTTTAATTTTTATAATTTTAAATAAAATATATATATTTAATCATATTCATGGTATATAGTGCTCTCATTTATTATCATAGGAGTATTTTTGGATTAAGAACATTAAATAAAATTGATTTCAATAAAATTTTCTTATATTTTAGTCCAAATTTTTTTATCTATTTTTATTTATAAATAAGTCCAGAAAGAATACAAGATTGCAATTAAAGTAATTCATTATATATTAAATATATATCACAAAAATAATTTGAGTAATTACAATAATTTATTAGGAATTAAATGTAATTGTTAAATATTTATCAAAATTCTATTTTAGTTTTAAAAATACACGATTTTACTACTTTAATTACAACCGATGAATAATTTGGTATGAATTAATTAAGGTAATGAAAATTAATTTAATAATATTAATATATAGTACATAATAATTAAGTTAATGAAAAATAATTTAATAAAGTAATTAAAAATTACAAAGAAAAAATTGATATACATTATAATAATTAAAGATGGTGAAAGTTACTTAAATGAAGGTGATAAATCTCAAAATAAAAATTATACCGATGTTATTATAACACTCTTCATAATATAAATAAATGTGAATATAATATCATTCATACCAAATTGTTCAAAAGGAAAATAACTGCCTTGTAATTTATTTACATATTTTGGTCAAGGGAGTATCTGCCTAAACTAGACCTTGGGAGCCTTGTGTATCAAATATCATCCAATGCCATCAAAACTATCACTCTCTAATTGGTGAGAGCAGTGTTTAAAAACCCGGATCGAACCGGCTGGTCAGACTGGTTGGATCAGGAACTGGTGGTCTAGCCGGTCCGAATCTCAAGTTGGATCGGTTATGCAGTCAACTCATTTCAAACCGGATTAAACCAATCAATTTTCCGGTTCAACCGGTGAACCGATGAGTCAAACCGATTCAACCATTTTTTTTCTTATTTTTAAAAAAAAATTTAAGGGACCATAAACTACAAAAATAATTATGAAAATTGAATATCTTAATGAAAGAACAAAGATTCTTATTAAATATAAAAATGACTACTTGTTCTAATGTATTTATTTATAATATATACAACTTAAATAACTTTTATAGTATATTATTAATTTTAAATTATATATTTAATAATGCAATATCTATGTAAATATTACATATATTATTTTGTGATATCAATTGCAAGCATATTATATATGTACATATTATTTATATTTTTAATTTGTATTAACATACAGTTTAACATGTAACTTTTTATATATTTTTTAGAAAATAAAAATAAAAATAATTTTAAATAAGATAGAAAATTTGAAATTTAAAATAAGATATGAATTTATTAAAATTTATAAGTATAAAATATATTTAATATGAATAATTTTTAATAAAAATTGAGTCATGCAGTTCAACTAGTGATCTACTAACCCAGTACCTTAACCAGTTCGATGACCAGTCCGATTTTTAAAATTATAGGTGAAAGTACCTGACACTCACAGCAATATCATTACGACTTTATTTTTTTAATTATCCAACATAATTTATATAATTTCTCAAAACTAAGAATTAAGAACTAATTTATATTTATAAGATATGAATTATACTAACCAAATATTATTTTAATTATGTGAAAGTCAATCTTAAAAACATTAAATCCATTTTTTATGTTACAAAACAGAACTCACAATTATTAGATTAAGACACTTAGTGCATGTTTGTTTTATCATTTGAAAAAGTCAAACGTACGTTCAACTCAACCCAACCACACTCATGCTTTTCCGTGCATGGAAATATGTGTGGATGAGTATTCAAACCCTTAGTCTTGGTTTGTCTGCCCCTGTTACATATGGAGCCCACATACGTGCGTACACGTGTTGTGCGTATTTAAAATCTGAAAACAACCGGCATTCAGCAATCTATCTTGAAAACATCATGATTGTTATTTTACATTTAACACTTAACAGATATGAGAATCGACCAAATAGACTTATAAGTCGTATTCTATTCAAAATTCAAGATGGCAAGGAAATGAAACACCTCAAGAAGAGATGGGAAGAGAACTTCTGTTTTTGTCCAAGAGGGATTGGAGAAAAAACTTAACAAAATCTATAGAGCTGTACTAAGGGATCATGTTGTATGGGCACCATGGGTCCTTGAAGCCCATATTCCAAAGACAAGAAACCAGAAAACAAACAATATTGCCCAATAACGTGCAGGTCCATACTTGATTCTCGTAAGCACGAACTGCAAAAACCACAAGTATACAAAAGAAACAATTAGACACTGATTGGCATCAGGCTTTAGATAAGACGTTGTTATGTACATGCCACTAAGATCAAGCATCTTCTGAATTTTTTCTTAGTTCCAGCCATCATAATTTTGGAAATAATTCATTAAAGGTTTTATTATCCATTTTATCTCTATATTTTCATTAACTTTACCTTTTAGTCTCTATAACTAAAAATATTTCATTTTAGTTTCTATACATAGTGTTTTTATTCCATTTTAGTCTTTATAATTTCATAAATTTTTACTTTTTAATTCTTATAAAAATAGATGACAGACTAAAGAGATAAAAATGGTATGTATAAAAATTAAAATTGAGCATTTTTAACTAAAAAACTACAAGATAAAGGTGATGAAACTATAGCATCCAAAACATAATTAAACCTTTCAATTATTCAAATTCCCATGCTAATCGAGAACAAATCAATTAATACAGGCAGGGTCTTCTTTCACATTTCAATTATTTTTAAAAGCATAGTCTAAGTTTTAATCCTGCCAAACATAATCTGAATAAAATTTCTTTCACAAAATACACCGAAGGGGAGCAAAGGAACACCAGATACTTACAAAGCGGAAGAAAACCACCACGGCTAAAGCACAAACACCTCCTAGTAAGATATGAAGACCACTTTTAGCAGTTTTCTGGACAACAAACATAAGCTGTATTATGCATATGCTTCTAACCACAATCAATGGGTAATAAGCAAGAGAGAGAGAGAGAGAGAGAGAGATAACACACACAAACACCCATAAGGAAGTGTAACAAAAGGCAAGAATGCAGTAATGCTGTTTAATCACTTTACCCATCCAAAATAGTTCCTCTCCTGAAGTAGCCATGAGTAGACCACCAAATCAAGTTTTAGGGCCAGAAGCACCCTTGAAAATACAAGCATTATGTTTTAATCACACAAACTGAAGGATAGTTAAAAAAGGACCACATTAGATTTTAGTCTCTATGCTTTTACAAGAGTTTTTATAGTTAACAAGACATACTTTATAGTTCACCATCAAAAACTGTTTTAGCCTGCCAACAGCCCGAAAAAATTGTTTAAAAGGAAAATAACCACCTTGTAATGCAAAAATAGGTGAAATTTTTTCTTAGGGTTTCTTAGGTTCTGTTTAGGTAACTTCTTCGAAAGCATTTTTAAGAGAAAAAATTAGGGAGAAAAAATGAAATAAGCATCTCCATAAACCAAAATTAGTTTATGCATAAGTTAATTTGTAAAACCTCTCCCTTATTAGTTTCTCCAAAATCTTATCTTTAACTTATGCATGAGCTAAATTTCAATTTTTCTTCCTATTTTTTTCCTTCTATAAGTATTTCTGGAGAGATTTATTCAAACAGACCCTTAGCTAAGTGTACACACATCACACATATCGAGAGAAAGTGGGACGGGAGGCCTATGAAATGGCAACAAGTGATTTGTATTAATCCTGTTTAAGCACCATCAACCAAACAAAAGACTTGAATTGCAGGAAGCTTTAGGCTTCCAAATAGGTTAGTTGAGGCTCAAAAGGAATCTTGAAAACTTAAAGTATGTCTTAGAAACAGAAATGAAGATATGAGAGAGAACTCTCTAGAAATTCAAACAACTACTTTCCTATCATAAGTAGCTGAGAGACGTACAAAAAATCAAGCAGGAACAGAAATGATTGTAGTTCACAAGTTTCACTGTCATTTAAATCTACACAAATATGTGAGTCCCAATATAGAGAATGACCCTGAATAGATTAAAAGCAACTAATGGTGAGTTGAGAAAACTAGAGTGATGAAACTGGAACGGAAAGGCCTCTAAAGTAGAAACATTCTCCACCTAAATGTTCTCTTAAAGTTTGATCCAGTACCATCAAGCAAACTGAAAGAAACAAGTTGTCAAAATAAAAGTAATATATCGAAATAAACTTTTAAGAACTAAAGTAAGTTAAAATGATTGCTAGTATGTCATTCCTTCCATTCTAATATAAATTGTACTCGCTAGTTACAATATAAAATAGAAACTTAGGCCCATTTAACTAGATATCATACGGACTGAATACGATTGAATATATTATAGTAGCGACCATAAAAATGAACACACTTCGCAGTATACACCACAAACAGAGTCTGACCATTCACATTTAGCATAACAAACAATTTCTTCTTTCTATTTCTATTGCCTCAAATTGCAGTTTACCTATTATTACTGTTTGCAAACATATATGAGATTCTCAATAATAAATTTCAAGGGTGTGTTTAAATGGAGGAAAAGGTTTTGAGTAAACCTAGCCCTTGTTTGGGAGTTTACTGAAACGGGTAGAAAAATGAAGGATTATCATGTAAGCCCCAAAACTCAACTTGGATTTTGGAGGACTATAATCATCCAAATAAGGGAGAGGAAGATAGGAAACTTATGACTTGCCTCCCATTCTTTTTCCCTCCCTTCCCCTTTATTTTCTTTTTGATTCTTGCCCCTCCTTTCTCCTCCCAACTGCCAAATATAACCAAGAAATCTTCAAAACTTCCCATGAAAACAGACTAATGTCAACCAAATGACTTATGGAGCAGACCACAAAGTTTTCCATCATCTAGAGGTTTCAGCTTCTGGCATATATATTAAACATTGACTATATGTTTGGCGCTCAAAACCAAGACATTTTCCTTTACCACATCTTAGTAGCAGAAAAGTGGTGGCATTAGACCCATGTAGGTCATCATTATACAAAATGTCACACTAAATTTCAACACAGTGGTTAAACTAAAGTCCATTATTAATCTCGTGTGCCATATAATACCCATCATTCTTTCTAGTTATTGACTCTTCACCAAGTATCTTTAAGTAATATCAGTATGTGGTCTAGCAGATGCAGAAACAGGTGACAAAAATGGTGGAATTTATAGATTATGCAGAGCAATGAATTGGTGGAGAGCCAAACTAGTATATGTGCTCCATGCATAAGTAACACATTAAGACTGACTCCATGCATGCATCACATCATAACCTCAAAATTTAAGCCTACAATTTTGTAAATTCACTAGTTAAAGGTAAATTAAAATGGTTATAAAGAAACATGGTATGGATCCATTTATGTATATACACACATTCAGGCAAAGAAAGGACATCTAAGCAAGAACTTCCACATAAACATAGGTACTAATCATCATTGATATTCAATTTTATTTACCTTTCCAACACGAGGAGCTATAAGCCATGCAAGGGTGATGGTAAGCAAACCCGTAGCAAGCAGGATCCCCGTACCCTCTACAGCCCACTTAGTTGCAGGATTCTGTATGGGGCCAGCATCTTCAGTAACAATACTCAAAGGCTGGTCAGCAACAACCTGTGAAACTGTGTCCACATTGCTATTGTTGTTATTGTTACTGATATTATTATGAGGACAAAACCATAGTGCAATCTCACTTAGCCTTTGCCTCCGGATAGCAGCCACAGCATCAGGATCCACAGCAGCACTTGCCTGAACTTGTGCAGGACCAGGATCCCCACTCGCAGTTCTTTCCCTCAATACTTCATACTCCTTCAAAGCACCAACAACCTTATTGAAGTCAGAGATTCTGATATTATTTGCTATATGTCCACATATTTCACAAATGGTAGATCCATGGTTGACAAACCACTTGAGTGCACATGCATAATGTACTAAAGCAAGGTCATTTTTACAACAACATCCAAGTTCAACTAATTTATCTTGATGAGACAAACCAAGTTCCAAATCGCTTTTACAAATGAAAACCTCCCCATCAGGGCTTACAAACTCCACCATCCCAGTATTTTTTTCAACATTTCTGTTAAGAGACACATTTTTGGGGATTCCATTTCCATCAGACCCTACTTCCCCTTTGCTTTTACACATTTCTGAATCTGGAGTGATGCCCAAAAATTCTAGTGCAGCATCTGCCCTTTTATCTGATTCAGTACATTGGCACACACGACAACCTCCCAAACCCGTCTCCTTGTCCAAACTAAGTCGAGCATGAGATTCTAAATCCCCATTCGCAACACTCGAGGAACTATCATCACTGACTTGTTCCTTTGCCATTGGTGATGCATTTTCTCGGCCCATCTGACGAGTTCAGTCTTCAGATTCAAAGACACACTTCGAGCTTTCAGATTAATGGACCATTCTACTTCAATAACATTAACTTAATTGAGTTCATAAAACTTTCTTCTGCATTGAGAATCACTGCCAAGAAAAAGACTAAACACCAGCATTCCAACAAATAAAAAAAAATAAAAAACAACCAAACACAGAAAATATACTTTTGCTTCAATTTTAAACCAGAGGCCCTTGGCCTAAGAGCAAGTCTTCATCTGGGACTATATGTCCTCCGGAAGAATATAAAATTTTCAATGCTGCAGATCCAGTTCTTGTATAACCTGAAGCACGTGTATGTATGTTAATCGCAATTTAGTGTAATCCCTTGTTGAATGATCAAAGCAATAAATGAATATTAAGAGAGGAGAGGTCTAAAATTCCAAGAAAAATTCAAAATTCAATTCTTATGCAGTCACCCAAAGGCCAAGAAGAGTGAATGAGAATGTCAGTTGAGGGGGCAATTAAAAGGATAAAAATTGAGAATTATGAAAAACAAATAGTTTGGTTTTAGAGAGGCAAAGGGAAAAGCCCATAATGATAGGAGAAGAATTATGAAATGAAATGAAGTTACTTACAGAGAGAGTGTGGAATTGGTTTGAGTTATTGTTAGAGAAGTGAGTCTGATTTACTTATGAATTGCAACTGTTGAGATAAGTGTTTGCTTAATACATTTCATCTCTCTTTCTCTGCAACTGCACACAAACGTATTAATCGGTACCCATTTTATCCTTTTTCCTTACCAACATAAACATACATTTCCTCCTTCTTACCATTTTCGCTGGATTCCTCAAATCGCACGTCATTTTTTTTATATATTTATAATAATTCATTTTAAATTTAAATAAATACTTTAATCTTCCAATTTTAGAAAATAAGTTAATTTATACCCTCTCAAACTTAATATTAATCTTTTTGGCTTATGTATAATTTTAAAATTATTTGATTTTAAATAAAAATAATTAAAACCATAAAAATTTTAATATTTGATGGACTAAAATATTTTAATTAAAACTTTGGAATTAAAATTAAACAATTATAATGTTACATGGATAAAAAACATAATTAAGTCATATGTGCATGTGAGATTTTAACATGTAAATATTGTGCGATAGGTTTCTTAATGACATATAATCAAATAGACTTATTTTTTTTTCTTCAAATTTTATGACTAAAATTATTAAATTTAAATGTGAAGGATCAAAAATAAATTCCTCTCATATTTAGGAAACTAAAAAAATATTTAAACATTTAATTTTTATCTACATTTTTGCATTTGACTAATTAATTTTTTTTGTTAAGTATAATTGTTAAAGTAATTAATTTAGAGGTATAAGCGGGTTGATTTGATCCACAAATTCAATTAACTTAATTAAATCCAACTATATTTCAACAAATTAGGTTGAGGTTAACTTTTTTTTAATGGACTAGATATAATTAAGTTAGGTATTTGCTTAAAATTTTTTTAATATGATGAATCTGACTCAATTCAATCTTAATATAATATTAATAATAAAATAATAAGAAAAAAAAATATATATATATATACTTTCCAATTTTAATAAATACACTTCTCTTCTTTCTGTTTTTATAAAAAATATTCCTTAAATACCTTTTCAATTGATTTTTAAAAAAATCTATTTTATAAAAAAAAAATCATTTTCATTCATCTCCTCTTCCTCTATTACTTTATCACTTTCTAATTGTAACACTATTATATGTATATTTCATGTTTAAGATGTAAGTGTAGTGTTGGATTAGCTCAATAAGAATATATAAGTTTTCTTAAAATTAGAACTTCATAAATTCCAATTTTAAAAAACTTAGAGAGAGGAGTTAGAGAGAGTTTCTTTGAATGTGAGGTGATCTCCTCTTCCCTTTTTTCACTAAGATCATTTTTATCTTTTTGCTTGTAGCTGATCAAGCTTAATTGAGTGGAGTTTTGAGGTTACGAGACTAAGAATCTAAGTCAACGTCGTACGAAGCTATTTTCTCTTGACCTCTTCTTGGTTTGGCACAACGAGAGATGAGGGAAGTTGCAATTTCAAATCCTCATGTGCATTGTGTGGTTTTGTTGTTGAAATTAGTTGATTGTTATGAAAAATTGAATGATCAAAATGATTAATTGGAAAGGGTTTTAGAATTTTGAAGTTGAGTACGAGGAAAAATGTTGCTTCTTGATTGATTTTAGTTGCATGTGGTGTTTCAAGCTGTTATCAAGTTATACATGATGTTAATGTGTTGTATATAATGTTGCGTGTTAGTTTTGGACTAGATTTTAGGTAAATTAGACAAAAATCAATTTCTACTTAAGTGCAAAAATTATATCGGGTTAGACGCACTTTTAAGGCACCAAGCATGACTCTAAAGAGGAGTCTATATCTTAATCACGTCGGTTGCAAGATCAGTGGCATCGAGCGTGAGAAGAGAAAATCATCTCAGGTTGAAATCATGTGCAAGCATGGGTTGAATTGCATCGGGTGTAAAGAAAGAGACTTATCTATGTCTAGATTCGCATCGGGCGCTAATGTGTGTAACATCGAACGTGAGTCAGGCAGAGGCCATTTGCCTAATTGGGACCAAACTTGGGTTTTGCCACACTAGACACAAGAGAATGAGAGACTCTCTACCTCAACCATGTCATGTGCAAGTATTTTGGTGCCACGTGTGAGTGAGATGGGAAGCCTCTATCTCAATGGCGTTGAACATCCTATGAGTGACATCGGGCACAAGTTGAATGATGAAAGTAGTTGTTTTAAGTGGTTTGAATAGTTGAATGATGATGAATAAATTATATGGATGATAATGTATAATGAGAATCTATATGTTGTAAGTTGATAGATAATTGATGATTCATGTTGTAATGTTAGGAGTTGATAGATGATTGAGTTGTAAGGTTGCATGTTGTTAAGTTGTTCAAATTGTTAAGTTATTAAGCTATTAGGCAGGAGATACATATCCTATTTAAGATACATAAAAATTAGAGAAGAGTAAATGATGACTTTGAAAACTAAATATCTCATTGTGTGAATATGAGATGTGATGTTCTTAGAGCACAAGTGTTAAAAAAATCATCAATATGTTAGTTGACTATTGAATGGTGAGTTGCATGTTGTCTCCTCTAGAATTTATGTGGAATTCGTATTTGGCTAATGTCGAAACATATACGTATAAAACAACCAACTAAGTAAAGTTCAAAGTTGGAGACTTAGTCCCTAACCGAGTATTTGAGAGACATAATACTTGGAGAGTAGTCGATGGGTTGATCTCACAGATGACTTAATGATGCAAGTTAATGTTGTGATAGACTCATACCCAAACTATTGTACCCTAACAGTAGTATTAGACTTTCTAATTTAAGTGACGGACGTAAGAAATCAAATTAAGTTGTTAGTTGACTTAGTTAAGATAGATCACATGTTGTGATTTGGTACGATCTAATTACTTAAACTGTTCAACCTTGTTGTAAGAGATCTCCTTAGTCAATATGTGTGACGATGCATTAATAGTTTAAAGTTGTTTGTGTTGATATTGTTGTGACGTTGTAAGTTGTGGTGTTATGATGTAGTGGTGTTATTAATGAATTGTTTGTTGATTATGTTGTATAGTTGAAATGTGCTTAGTTTTGATTTTATGATGATTTCTTTTCACAAACTTGTATTTTTCTTATAGTTGAAAATATAATGATCATACTTAGTATAGAAACAGAATAAGATTAGTAGGTTAACTCATCTAGTTGTTGAAGGTCATGTTGGAAATGACCAATTCTCTTTTGTGGTAGCTGCTCTAATGCAATTTTGATTTTGTATAGACACCTACCAATGCTTACGTTATCTTGCACATGTCCTATATTTTGTATATAACACATATGTACAAGAACTATCATGGTTCTTTTTATTTCTCATATATAACTGTATACATGAATTTATTACTTATTACATGATAATCCTAAGTCAAATGTATGCTGTTTAATTTTTCATTGTGTAGTAGTTGAACTATAATAAATATAATAAATTATCAAATTGTTATTCTAATCATTTTTATTAATTTCTTTTATTTTTTTCTTTTTAGTTATCATCTTTAACAGTTAACACTTACACTTATCTTTATTATTCTTTAAAATTATTTTTTCACTCTCAACTTCATTATACTTTAAACCAATTTTTTCACTCCATTTTCATTATTTCCTACATTGAATATAATATCTGAATTTAATGTGTGAAATCACATTTTCTGTCAATAATTTTTGTAATATATTTAATACTCTCTACTCTCTACAATCACCACATAAGACATATGATATCCGTCATCTCCGCTAAATCTTACTTGACACACGGACTTGTGTTTATCAGATTATGGACACGTCATAGTTTCATACAATACATTAATTTGTCGGAGAGAAAGAGAGGACTATTTTGAAAGATACTTTCTGTAGATAAATAAACAGGAATATTTTGAAATTATCATAAAATAATTTAATTTTAAAAATAAATTTATGAATGAATAATCTATTCATAAAAATAATTTAATAATAACTTATTTTATGTGCAAAATCAAAATTTAAATGCTGAACAATTCAATTAAAAGATATAACTCATTATCATTTGTGTTAATCATCATTGTTCATGTATTTGAAAGTTAATCAATTAGCCCTTGTTTTCTTCACTTGAAGAAGACCTTTTAGTTTTGTTTTTCTAAAGTTGTGAATACATAGAAATGATCTGATTTGATATAATTCCTGCCTAGAAAAATATATCCTATTCATGTTATATTTTTCTTCAACATGTTCTGAATTATTACAGAAATATAAAATTCAAGGCTTCACTTTGATTGATTCCAGTCCAAGTGATGCTATCTTCAACTTGATGAACCATGGGTTTTAGTCTCACCAAAACCAAGATTACCCTTTCTGGCATCCATCTTCTTGCCCCACTCATGTAGCCTCAGGTGCAACTCTGCAGCAGCAATCAAGAAGTGAATGGCCTGTTTTGGAGCCAAAACACAAACAATTGCCTTCAGTGTTCTCAACCTCAGCTCGTCAGCTTTCTGCAGGATCATCTCCAAACCTTCCTCCTTTGGCACCAAAGCTGACTCAACCCTGTCCTCAATTTCCTTCTTCTCATCAACCTCTCCTGTTTCATTGGCTCTGATCATCTCAGAAACCACATGAGACAACTCCACCATTGAGGCATCAGCCACTGACTCCTGGTGCCTTGCCATCAAATCACTGATCTCCCTCTCCTCCAAGATGGTCCTCCTTTGCATCTCATCAAACTGAGCAAGTTGTGATGCTGATAAGTCTCCCAAATCATGTGTTCTTAGACCCTGGATCAGTTCACCAAGCCTGGCCTCAAATTGCAAACCAGACTTGGAATATAGTAGGTGAAAGGCCATGCTTGGTCTCCATCCACCAATCCAAAGAAAAGCCTCCTCCAAGGAACTTGTCCATGTTGGGGACAACATGCTCAACACATCTTGCTTTGCACTCCTTGACTTGGCCTTGTAGTAGCACTCATAATGCTCCATCACCCTATCATTCACTGCCTCAAGTTGCTCATCTGTTAGCTGAGTTGATTCAGCAGTTAAAAGTTCCTTCAGATGTTGGTTTTGCTCAAAAATCCAGCACTCAAAAAACTTGTGAAAGCTTTCACCTTCACCCTCAGAGGTATGTTTTTCAGTGGTGTGGCTACAATTGCAAGGAACCACGGACATAGCTGAGAAGTGAGTAGAAGAATGCACTAGCACAACAAAAGTGCACAATTGCAATGTGGTTTTTATAGGGAGAGACATGTTACATGTATGCACTTGCAAGTGGGGGTATGGAGGCTTTCAGTTTCAGGGGACTATAATGCCATTGGATGATGGGATTGGCATTAGATTCTCCGTATCTATCTCATCTGGGAAAAGTGAAAGGAAACAATGGTTTGACAGAGGTGGTGTGAATAAAATAAAATTGAATTGAATGCTGCTACGTAATGTAGTGAAGATATTTGATTATATGTGTGTGCAATGCGTGTGTGAAGGTCATTTGAGGAAACGTAGATGAATGATATTATATGATATAATAATAGTGGATGAGATCATGCATGTGACTGAAAAATAAAATAAATGGCAGAACTAGGAGCTGCCAGTTGAAGGGTGCCATGCTTCCCGGAAGGAAAACAACAAAAAGCTTGTTTGTAGTTTTGCATGGCAGGCTACGGTTATATATTTCATGATATCTCAACTGATTATATGTACTGCATATTTAATGCGTTCCACTTGAGAGTTTCTTGCAAGCTAAGTCTGTCCGAATATAAATTATTATTTACCAAATTTTGTCGACATAAGATTTTTTAATAATCTAAATAAGTATTTTGAAGGTAAATTATTCAGAGTTTTATAAAAGAAAATACTAAGTAGGGATAGCAATTACAAATGTTTGGGTACGGTATTGTATTAATCTTCATACCTACCTTTTAAAAAATGCTCTTTTTTTTTACTCAACTGCATACATATTAAAAAATAATTATTATTATATTGTTTATCACCGTATTACATGTGAATAACCGAAATCATTTAAGATTGAATGATTGGAATAAAAATAGATGCACGAAAACTTGATTCGATTTTCCTTATTGTTAATTTGTCATCGTAATATTTTCTATTTGTCGAAGGAAATATCTGCATAACCAACATAAATATTTGGATCTTTATTTATATATTTATAATTACTAATCATTGTAAGATGTTTTCATATACATTTACGTAGTTTTGTTTCCGCACTTCAATTAAAACAATTTAATAACTTAATCTTTATTGTATCTTTGAATAACTTTAATATTTAAGAGACAAAGTAATGACATTTTTAGTTGTTTATGAACGAGTAGAGAGCTTCTCGCCATTGATATAAAATACTTGACACTGGCTAAAAATGACAGTTTCAAAAGTATGTTCAGATAATTGTCCCAATTGCTGTTTTTCATACACGCCTCCGAACAAAGTATACTTCTTACTCGCAGTTCAATCATTACATACATAGAAAATGCTGCCCGTAAGTGATCACAGAAAAAATAGTCGAGGCAATCTGATTCCGGTGATCACAGAAAAATTCAAAACGGAAATTACCCAAGGCAAGTGCCATTCGAAGTTTGAACTATCTTCCAATTATGTGAGACAATATTCTACAAATACAAAATAGTAATGTAAAGATTTAATCATGAAAAGTTCCATCATGAAAATATAAAGCATGTGTAACATTTGGTTTACTAACAGTGATCTTGCCTAAAAGCTGAGAAAATACAATAGAATTGCAGAGTGACAATCATGATATACATTTGCGTAGTTGTTTAACCCTTTCATACGTTTATTCCTTTCCATGGCTTCATTGTTAGATTTAGCATTTTAGCATCAGAATTCCAGTGAATGCGCCCAATCTTTGATTGCAATGATGCGAGGTCTACAAGTATTGAAGGCAAACTCTGTCCAAAAATGTCCCGCATGAGTTTGATACTGAAGTATCGACCCCAAATCTATCTTCACTTTGTCTCTCTTCCAGCAGAAACCTAGCCATGAGACAGTGTATTACATCTCACTAACAATTTGCAAGTAAATTTTTTAGTATTGCAACAAGTGAAACAATGTTGGCTGGAATTATTAAAAGAAATGAATAATATGTAGAGGTTAATGCTTGCCACAAACTGCAAAACATGTCGCTAGTAAAGAGATGGATCAAGTGACATTTCACTTTGAGATTCCCATATAATTTTCAAGAACCTTAGCACCGGAATCAAATTTCAAGCTAAATTTAAATTTTCTTCATTACCTTATAATCGTCTCGACTTCTGTTGTGCAGGGTATCCTGGCATCCCCATTTGATCTTTCCTTCTCAACTGTTCAACATTGTAAATTTCAATATCACTTCAAAAGAAAAAATACAGCAAAAAAAACAGAAAAGAAAGTTTAACCCCTGCCCCTCTTTCCTAATTCCTATGAAACACTAAACCTGTTGCGGTTGATGGGCCTGTGGAACACCTCGTTGCTTTGAGATACCCCCAGGATTCATTCCATCTCCCATGGCTGCCTGAGATGTGAGATTATAAGCTGCCATTGCCTGAGGTGGCATTCTTTGCATTCCAACAACATTCATTGGCCGAGGGACAGATCTATTTGACCCGTGAGCACCAGGCATGCCAGAAACTGCAGTTACCTGAATCAGAAATAAAAATTTACACAAATAAAAACTCTGGCGTAAAGCATGTTTACACAAATATGCTTGTGCACAAGCTAGTATAAAACCATATTTTACCATGAATCAGTATTTTTTAAAACCAAGCAACTTAAATTTCAATAAGGAACAATGATATCAATGCACAAATTCCACTCAGCATATTATTCACACACACACACATACACACACACATATATATATATATAGGATGACCCACAGCACAAGGCTCCCACCTAGTGATATCTGAGGAGGGCAAATGTATGCAGTCTTACCCCCCACAAATCTTACCCATAGCATAAACAAAAAGAATCTTTCCAGGATTTCAACCTCTTGGTCACAATGCTACCGTATCATTGCACCAAGGCTCGCTTCATATTATTCACACTCACACACGCATATATATTACAGTTCAGCAAGGAACCAGACAAACAAATGCACAAAAGGCACTTATCATATATTATTAATAAATAGTTAAGTAATTATATCCGGCTTTTAAATATACTAGAACAATAATACGTGTCCAATTTTACAAAACTAGTGCAACTTCGGACTTTATGATTAACCTATTACCCTACCATCTATGAATTTTGTAAAATGGTTTTGTTGATTAACCAAGTCTTACAAAATCAAAATTAAATTAAAAAAGTTATATACATGAAAAACAAAAGCTTAATTTTATTTTATCACAAGTCGTGTCCATAATATACGTCTCTCAAGTTATTTGTTAAAATAAATAACAAGTTTTTAAATTGAAAGAAATCTAAATAAAAAGTTACAAAATCATATGTGGCATATACAACCTACATAATTTTTAAGTCAGTCACATATGTCATATATGCGTTGCATAATTTCTAAAATTATGTAGAGTGCGTTTGGTAAAACTAGCTTGTAAGTTAATCAAAAGCTTTTAAGTTGGCTAAAGCTTATAAATCATAAGCTAAGAGCTGAAAAAATTATAAGTTATGGTTGAATTGAAGTGATTGATAAGATTAGCTAATAAGCTAGCTGATAAATGTAAAATGACATAAAAGGGCATATTTAGTTATTTGAGGTAAAATGAGATTTCAAATAAATTAGTAAGGATAAACAAGGTAGTCAAACTTGAAATTCTATTCAGACGGGAAAAGGACAAGAAATCATAAATCATGAAACTGTAACATGAAGCCTAAGATTCTACAGGATTTATAAAATTCATATATATGTGCCTATAAATTCTTAAATATGCATATAACATAGCATAAATAAGAGAGAGAAAAAACATTATAACACAACGTCATAATCATAAGAAACTTAGAAACTAAGGTTGGGTTTGACATCTTCAATCGGACAATAACAGAAACAGGGAAACTGCGAAAAGAGAACCAGAATCAGAAAAATAACCTGCAGCAGCAGTAGCACTGAACCAGAATAAATGAAAAATAGACCGAAGAAGTGAGAAAACAGAGCAAGAGAACCGGTGAACCACAAACAGAGCCGCATAGGCAAAGGAACAAAACAGACAGTAGGGTCAGAGATGACCTAAGATGAGGCAGAGAAGAGCTCCAGGCACGAAAGAGGAGAGCTCTGGTTGCAGTGTTCATGCAGCAGTTTTGGGGGAGGTTGAAGAAGACACAGCAATGCCAACAAAGGTGTTTTTTTAATTCTTGTGCTAGGTTATAGTAAACTTGGTTTTGGGGCTTGGATTTTACAGGATTAAGTTTACAAAAGCCAAAACAAATAAATAAAAAAAAGTGAAACCTGACTCATAACATGAAAGTTGATGCATAAAAAAAACTGGCACAGCAAATGAAAAATAAAAAATTGACAATTCCATCTTATTGTGATCCTGTGAAGTGAGTTAACAATTTTGCTTATTCTAACCATAGCACTCACCCAGGCATGGCAGAAGCGTAGAGTCATGTGATACAAGTCAACAAATAACTCTGACTACCATGAGAACAAAAATGAAAAAACAAAAAAGCTAATAGCTCATAAGCTAGCATATTTTCATTAACTAGTTGAAGTAGCTTAATAAGTTAGAAGCTACTAAAATAAGCTCGTATATCAAACAAACTTAAAAGTTAAAATTTGTGGCATAGATGACACAACTTCCATAGTGTTGTAATATTTTTAAATTTAAGGGAAAAGTGTTTTATCTCCCCAAAATCATTGAATTATTACTCTAGTTGCACTTTTCATACTCAATTTAACAGAAAATTTTTTAACAGTCAAATGTTCATGCCATTCACATGCTGTTTAAGCAAAAAATCTTTAAGACAAAAAAAGAAACCATGTTACTAAATCTTCACTGTCCAATGCAGAAAAATCTGCACCGTCATCTTTTAGACATTTTTCTTTCCAAATATTATACGCACTTGTGCATTTGATTCTGCTAAAATTAACGGCCAAGTTTGATGGAAAGGGGAAGGGTAGATTGCAGGAAATTGTGTTTAAGATGTATTATTCTTAATTTGATGAGGTTTAAAAATGCAATTAGAGTAATAATTCAAAGGGTTAAAGTGTTTTATACTCTTAAATTTATGATAGAGTTTTGTTGAATGAATGTTAAATCTGTTTAATAAAAAAATCATTTTATATTTTATAGGCCCTAAAAATATAATCACTTGAGTAAAATGTCAAATTAGTTCCTAAAAATGTAGGCACAAGTCAATTTAGTTCTTGATATTAAAAAACTGAAAATTTAGTCCTTATTTTTTAAAATTGTCATTCGATTTGGTCCCTGAAATTGACACCATCAGTCATTTTGCTTCCTAGCAATACATAATCAATCAATTTTATCAATATATTTAACAACTATTGTTAATTTGGTCCCTAAATTTGGAACTCATCAGTCAATTTGGTCCCTGATATTAGAGACCAAATTGATAGATCCATAACAAATATTCACTAATGCACATCAAATTAGAAGCAAAAGGACTATAGTTGTCAAAATCAAGGATCAAGGCAACAGATTCTTAATATTGGGCTAAAATGACCGATGGATATTAATTTAAAGAACTATAATTTCTTTTTCATTATTTCAAGCACTATAATGACTGATGATTGAAATTTCAAGGACTAAGTTAATGATTTCTCAATCATTTGAATATAAATAATTATTTGACTTTACTTTAAATTTAAAATGTTACAACCACAATTTGAAAATAAAGTTATTAAGTTTACATGATGAGCTTGATTAGGTTTATAAATCGCCTCATTGTGGAACATAAGCAAGCTAATCATGTAAACTCATGAACTTTATTTTCAAATTCAGATTGTAAACATTAAATTTTCAAATAAAAACCTTGAGCTTGTTAAAATTATTATATATTTAGGGTTTACAAGTCTTGCATAACTTTAAATTAAGAAACATGTATGTTGTATATGTCCTATATGACTTGCATAGTTGTCAATTAAAAATTATGTTAGTCATCTTATGACATACAATTTACATAACTTTTGGTTTAAATATTTTTTTAAATTTAAAAAACTTACAATCTAATTAAATAAATAATCTAGGTTATCATTTTTCGTGTATATACCTTTAGTAAAATAATATCTAAAAATTTCAAGTACGACTTGAATAAAATGTATTTTTCACAATAGTCATTAATACCAACCATGACTTGCCATTACCATTGATAGGAAGGACTTGTTCTAATTTGATAATATATCCAACAGTTGCACTAGTCTGATAAATTGAAACCGAACTGTACCAATATGGTAAGAAAAAGCCAACTATGTTCTATTAGACATAGCAAAATCATTGATGTTAATTATCACCTACATTTTCTCCAAGCAGTTCCATTATCTGAAAGAAATATAAAACTAGCAAGTTAATGCATCGGTACTTTTAAATTTTACTTCAATTTAAAATATAGATAATATATATATATATATATATTGGAGAAAATATATCAATATTGTTAAACAATGGTAAAATAACATATCTCAAAAATAAAGTATAGGAGATTTATTCATTGCAAATGATAAGAACTATATTTTATTTGATAGGAATAAATTCAACGGATAATTTTCTTAAAATATAATAGTATGTGTTAGCTTATTGATTTTCAGCTTCTGTTGTAAACAGTTTAATAATGTGTTAGCTTCTTCTGTAAGTTTTTGGTTAGACACCAACAGCTGTCAGTTTGTTATGACAGCTGTTTAATTCTCTTGCAGACAGTTACTAAACTGCTTCTCTCTCTTGTACTGTATATATATCTGATCTCTGTGTTTTGGAGATCAAGAAGATCCATAAGACAAATTTTCTTCTTATAAATTCTCAGATTATCTGTATTATTCACGGTAACTCGGCTTTCATGAACATGGCAAACAATATTTTTCCTACTCCACCATTTTCATTGTCGCAACCACTGCTACGATCAGATCGCATCACGGCCACAGCCACACAATTCTTCGTTTCCAGAAAACAATTCTCCTCTTCCGATGCCAGTGCCAATGAGTTAGTTTCCTACATTTACCTTATCACATTATTGAGAAGATTAATGATCAAAATTACCTAGTTTGGATTCAATAGGTTGTACCTGTTCTCCAGGCACATCGTCTTCATTGATTTTATGTTTTGCCTCAAATCCCAAATCCGTACCTCTCAAATGCTAATCATATTTAGAGTTGAATTTAAAATTAAAGAGGTCTTAGAATGTGAGTTTAGATCTAATTAAACCCTCCAAAACCAACTTGTAAGGTGGGGATTGTACTCCACTTATATACACTACTTTGGTTTGATCAGTAGTCAATATCAGATCTTCAACACATTCTTTTGATGCCAAGGACTTAACCCCTAGTGCCTCATCGTGCGCTCTTCTCAATCCTGTGTTTCTAGGACTGCAGAAAGCTAAAAAGATGTGGTTTCAGCAGAATGAAGATGTGGTTTCTATAAAAAAAAAAATTGTATCTCATTGGATGTAACATCATTTGCAACCACTTTTGAAGATGATGTTGCTGGCTTCACAGGTGTGCATGACTCATGCACACCTGTTAAGCCAGCGGCATCAACTCCAGAGGAGGTTGCAAATGATGTCACATCCAATGAGATACAATCTTTTATAGAAATCACATCTTCCACATTTTGCTGCCGACTATGATCTGTAGTTCCTTTAGGGACAAATTGAGTTTTCTGAAATTCCCTGCTAAGATACATTATCAACAAAATCAGTGTTTAAAACCAAGTGCAGCCCCATAAACCCAAGATTGAGAGGAGCTCATGAGATGAGGCAACAGGGTTCTTCCCAACAACCAGTTTGTGTATACCATCCTTCCAAGAAATGAGAACAAGCCAGTTTTGTGGGTGAGTTAGATCCAAAACCACATTCTAAGATGGTATTAAAACTTATCCTAGTGATAGTTGTTGGGCCTATCAAACCACTTGCTATTGAGTTATCAGACCCGCAGATGTTCGTTTCTGCAAACTTATAAGGTGAGGATTATCCCTCACTTATTTATATACACTATTTTAACTTTATCACTAGTCGATGGAAATTCTCTAACTAAAGGAAATTATTAAAAAAAATTAATCAAAACACGTTATCTTTATATCTGTTAATTTGATATGGTGCTAAAATTCAAAATTAGTAAACCAAATTTAAATAGAAATTAAATGAATTTAAGCAATAATATTTAAGAATATATAATATTTTTAAAAAATGGGAGATAATGTAAGAGAAGTCATATGGCTTGCTGAGAAAGAAAGTGAGTCCTAAAAGTTCTCTTGTTCAATAGTAAGTACTAAGATTTATAATTGGATGGACTCCATCAGAATCGGGTTAGCCAAGGTAAATACAATCAATTCTCTTATTTTATACTACCTCCAATCCTTTTTTATAAGAAACAAGTTATAGTGTAAAATGGTAGTATATTATAGATATATTGACAAAGGTTCATTTTTTTTGCAATCAAATTTGGATACAAAAGGAAAAGCAAAAAAATAAGGTTATTTCCTTGGAAGGTTATAGGGAAGATTTTATAAGAGTGGAAAGAGGAAGAGTTTGTTCAAAATAGATATTCTAGTTAACATTCTTTGGCTGAAGCTTCGTGCGGTCATCATTTAAATTTCAAAAAAAAAAATCTTCTACAGATATCATGAATTTATTTAAACAATTGTTTATTTCTGCTCCCTTCCTCCCTCCCCTTTTTTTCTCTAGTCCTTGCATATTCCTCCATATATAATGCCATTTGCAAGGTCTCATTTCCTTAACATCTTAAAGTATTTTTCCATTGACAAATTAAAAAACAATTTATCATTATATAATATGATTCATTATCATCCTATAACTCTGATTAACCCTAAATTTTTAACACAATAAAAACTCCATAACCCATAGGCTACCGACAGCGTTAACAATCCATTTATATTCTATTCACCAAACTGCATGCAAATATTGTTTAGTAGAATGTGGCAACAAAAAGGAATTGATTAAATCACCCACCCACCACAACGCTGAACCCAAACATGTAACATAAATTGCAATCCTTCATTTCACTAAATAAGCAAAAGTCTTACAATTTAAAGTACTGCCTTACCCATAGATAAAAATGAGCATACTTAATTTCTCTAGTATTTATTGCTCCTAGTAAATATAAGTCTAAGATTTCATTTAAAGATGATTTAAGGACAATGAATCATATCCTTCACTATTTTGACATGGCCTGCTCCATGAAAACTTTAAATCCATAATGAGACTTTACCAAGATTGAGATAGGCCAATGATATATTAAGTATGCACAATTAAAGTTTATAATGATTTAGTATCAACAAATTTTCAATCATCATTGCATACCGTTTGTGAAGGTGGCATATTGGTTGTCCCCTCAAGATCAGTTGTGGTGTCCACTGGCCGAGTGGGATAATTGACAATTTTCTCTCCAAGTTGACAGGGTACAAGTGCACTGAGCATGATTTTAGAGAAATGTTCAGTTAAAGAAAATAAACATTGGTGAAATACGTGTTTCATGAGGGCTACTTTTTTTTTATTGAACACAATAACTGCATGAATATTTTTGTTTGAAAGCAATCAAGAATGATAGGAACAAGTTTTATCCATTAAATTTAAGAATAAAGGCTGACCCAAAATAACCAAAAGTGGGAAGAAAGAATCTCACTTCCGTCCAGGTAATGGTTCAATTTTGAAATACCTGGCAAACAGAGCATAAGGATGTTTGTCAGATAACAGCTGCATTACAATAAGGACTAATATAACCAAAAGTCACAATGCAAAGTCCTTAACTATATTGATACAACTGGAAACCACATCATTTTCAGTGCACCATAGATCATATCAAGAAATAGGACATACAAGGGGGTAAAGGTAGAATTAAGCAAAGATTTTGGTAAAGAAGGTAAAACCAATAACTTAAATGTAAAATCATACTTTTCAAGGTTGGATACACATAATACCCACAAGAACAAATAAGGAGAAGAAAAGAAGTCCTACTCATGCTCCAAAGCTTGTGCTGCTGTTATACGCTTACGAGGATCATATCTGCACATATATACACAATCCATTATAAATGCAAAATCATTAATGTGACTTAATGGTAAAGTTTAGGCTTTTGGGTTTATGACATGATATTAGAGCTTGCATGATCAAGTAGTCTAGAGTCTAGAGTTCAATCATAGCCACCTCTATCCTTACAAGTGAAAAAGTGGAAATAAGCATAAGGTAAGTGGGCTTGTGCATTACCCTCACTTCAAATCCAAAGCACTCGTGTTGGGAATTGTTAAATATAAAAATACTCATGTGACCGCACTCAAAACTTAAGCTTTGGGGATAGTTGGTTTATGACATCCCTATCATTTTAAAAAGAAAAGGAGAAGCAAGTAAAAGGGAATTTTGGATTGAAATTATAAGGTTTTAGGCGGAGAGAGGAAAATGAGATAAAACGATATTGAATATGCTAAAATTGATACTGACTTGATATGTTATGATGAGTTGTGTATGGTACTAAAGCAACAATGCATTTTCAAGCTGATAATGATATAGGTACAAGTAAAAGTGTAAAACTAATAAAAATTTCAAGCCCATTTTTAAGCCAGAAGTTAACAGGGGTAATAGCTGAGAGTTATAAGGTGTCCTAGGTGGTATGGGAGCTGGAGTGATAAGGAAGGAATGGGTTTGAATCCTCCCAGCTAACACATAATTTACTAACATTTGCCGGTTTAAAAAAAAAAATTCAACCCCATTTTTTACATATCAACACCTGGACAAGGAAAGGAAATGGTGTGACCATTTATTTATCCACCATCACAATTTGGGCGGAAGTGTCACTAGAAACCGCAAGTGTATCGAAGTGATTGTACTCCACCTTGTGTTCAATTTTGTATTACTTAAATGGAAAATGAAATGCATCATTTTTCATTTTCTGCATAGGCATAGCAAAAATTACAAATTACAAATCTAAGAAGGAAAAAACTTACTCGAGCATCTTTGATAAAAGGTCATATGCAGGACTTTTTGGAGATAGGTGCACAACATTATAGAGACCAGTGTTGTCACTTTACACAGAAGAAAGAGAAAAAGCTTTAATTTCACATCAAATTAATTTTAAAAGTTAAAGAATAATAGGTATGTAAAGGAGGAAGCAAAGAAGGAATACATAATAAAGGAAAAGATCATTCCTACATCTAATTCTATAATCACATTAATAATGAAAATTGATAGCATCACCTAAAATAATGTCAAAAGATCTTACTATTTGTGTCCTTGTATATGTTGCACATCTTGTTGCCAATGTGGAAGACTTGTTAAGGAAGGCCACTTTTCTATTGTGGGATGGCCTGGCACAGTAACAATGTCCTGTGATATAGTTCTAGAATATTCATCAACAGAATGAATGTTCACCAGCAGGGAAAAAGAAAACAGTAAGCAGGTAAATTACCTAAAACCTTAAATATCTTGTCGAGCTGGTCAAGCTGCACAGGTGGAAAAACAATTATACAAAATCCAAAAGGCCAAGCTAACACTAATATAAAAATTACTTCAACACCAACCTAAAGAAAACTAAATCAATAGACAGTGTTCAACTACAGAATCAGAAAGCTAAAATTTATTACATATGTACCTGAAAGGGATTTGATGTGGCTTTGACTTCTGCCCCTTGAAATAGTGGCTTCAAGGTCAACAACTCAGCAAAAATGCATCCCACAGCCCACATATCTAAATGTATATTTAAGGAAAAATGACTGGAATACTGGAGTCTGGACTACTTTTAGAATAAGAATCTAAAGACATATTCAGTTACTATAAACTATAGATAAGTTTAACTATGGATTGTGAACCATACTGGAAAGTTCCCCCCAATATCCACATGGATAAATTAAAATGTAAAATATGATGTCAATCTTGTGGACATTCAATACTTTGACATCTCCAATTCAGTGAAATCATAACTCATTGAAACAGTTCTCTCAAGTCAAATTAAGGATAATAACAGAACCACAAAACATGCAACTCTGAAGATGACTATGCAACAGCACAGCTATTCCTTGACTGGAAAATATGAACAAAAAAAACACAGAGTAAAACTTCAATAAAAGGATACCGACAGCACTGGTATAATGTTTTGCACCAAGAAGCAACTCAGGTGCACGATACCAAATGGTTACAACAACCTGCATGTTAGTATCTCTTATGTTCAGGAAACCAAACAATCAAAACAAATGACAAGCTGAAAAGTGCACAAGTACATAAATAATTGCAGACTACAGATGAGAACAGAAAATCCATGTTTATGCAAACCATGTGTGGGGAATCAAAACACTAGAGTGCTAGCAGACTAGGTAGATCAAGAAGCTAAATTTGAAACCATCATATGCTTGGCTAGACTTAGACTTTGGTTTCTTAAATCCTATGAATACCACGTCTCTGTGTGTGTGTGTGTGTACGTCACATGCAGATGAAGATTTCATGAATATACCAATGAAATGATAGATGATATATATAATACATTCGAATGAAAAAAGGAAAAATGCCTCATGTGGTCATACCAGATGAGGCCTTTAGGCCAAAAAGGCCAGCAGTTGTCAATCATTTAAGGGCCCAAAAATATACATGTGTTTGCATAGATATAGATATAGATATAAAAAAAAATATTTACTTTTAAATTAAATTATTAGGGATAAGAGCAATAGATCACACATCCACTCAAAGATTTTTTTCATATTGGTTATTTTATATACATATTAAATTTATTTATTTATTCTATTGAGAGCCAATTTGAACAATATACTTTTTTTAATTCGAGTCACAAACATTTTAAATTTTGGATGAGGATATTATAGTGGAAAAGGACTAAAGTAAACGACATTTTATAAAGTCAGGAACTAAAGTAGGTTGGCGGTGCTTGTAAAATCAGGGACTATTGTGATCAACGTTTATGGTGCTTTTCTAGATGCATGCACTGCATATAAAATATTACTGATAATATCCATAAATTTTGTTAGTGCTAAAAGAAATCTTGCAAAATTAAAATTGATTAAATCCTATCCGAGATCAACTATGTCACAAAATGGGTTAAATGGATCTAACCATATTATAGCTCAAAAAGCTAGAAATATCAAATAAAAATTTACAAATTATATTAAACTAGCCCTCAAATATAAATTTCATACACCATTCTCAGATAACGGCTTCAGAGGAGCTTGGTATATCCTTGCAAGTCCGAAGTCAGCAATCTTCACAACCCCATGTTCCTCTCCTTCACCCATAACCTGGTCAAAGAAAGTTCGTTAAACGAAAAAAGCAAGTGCGCTAATCAAAACTCGAGAAATAAAGTTGAAAATTCAAAATACAAATGACTACAAACAGCAACTAATCAATGTATACTTGGCCAAAATCATACCAGTATATTCGACGGCTTCAAATCTCGATGTATCATCCAATTACTACAGGAAGAAAACAATGCAACATATTATTAAGTCTATATACAAAAGAAACACAAACATACACACACGCACTGATGTTCAAATTCAGTCATTTACACCTGTGCAAATAGCTTAATCCATTGAGCAGCTGCCAGAGCAAGGACTTAACAGTGTACTGATTAATGGAATGGTTGAGTTTGTCTCTATGGTGCCTAATAATTTCCTGCCACATTGAACACCACGATTTATCATTTACTATTTCACACTCAACAAAAAGGTTAAAAAAAAAAAAATGCGCCATGGAAAAGAACGAAACACCGACATAGAGATCGTGCTCGGCGTAATCGAAAGCGAGGTAGAGCGACATGTCAGCGTGGTTGATATGGACATTGACGAGCTTCACGACGTTCTCGTGCGCTATCTCCCTCAACAACTGCAATAAAAGAAAGAGTGAGGAAAAATTGACACCGAAAGGAAACGCAACGGAAGAGGTTAGGTTAGGTTCGGTTACCATGATTTCGCGGATGGCGGTAGGGGAAACGCCGTCGCCGTCCTTGGATTGCTTGAACTTTTTGATGGCAATGGATTTGGAGGGAGAAGGAGATTTGGTTCTGGCGAGGAAGACGAGGCCGTACGTGCCTTCCCCGATCTTGCCGAGGAGATCGTACTGTTGCACCCACTCCGCCCTGTTCCCCCGGCTCCCACTTCCGTCGCCCATGACTCTCTCTCTCTGTACGATCGTGAAGCACACTTGCAAAGGGGATAGACGATTGTCAAAGTTGAAATGGTTTTTTTTTAGAAGAGTATTTATTGCGTGGATAAAAAATTATTTAATGTCTATTAATTAATATTTTTTGTGATTCAAAATATTTAATCAAATGTATTTAATATCTTTAATTTTTTAGTTTAATAATTTTAAGGCATGAGTAATTATCATGAGATTACTTTTGTGATTTTATTAGTTTTTGAGTTTGATTTTAATATATTCACGTGATGGGGTGAATATGATTTTCAAAATAATTATTATGAAAATTAATATAAAAAAATTATATATTGTTATCAAATTTGGTATTTTACGGATTGAGTTGGAATAAAAAAAAATCAATGATTTTATTATTAATAACAATTTATGATTGTGTTAAAAAGTTTATATATATATATATATATATATATATATATATATATATGT